CAGTACATCGTATACAGGTTATGAGACATTCTGACCGACCGACCGACCGACCAGAGGAGCCCACCACGCTATTTAGGTCACGCCTTGCTATATACGATTTAACGATATACCGTCGGTCCATCGATCCGCTATTTTTCGATGCACCCCTGTATACACGTTGCCCCCCGTAATCCACGCCAACACCAGACAGGTGCGACATCGGCGCCATCTATGCGCGAGATGCCCAACCCATCAATGGCAGCTGTCCAATGACACATAGATTCCGTTTGGTTTGTACAGCGCCAAACAAATCGGCGCCATCTATGCGCGAGATGCCCAACCCATCAATCACAGGTGTCCAATGACACATAGATTCCGTTAGGTTTGTACACCGCCAAACAAATCGGCGCCATCTATGCGCGAGATGCCCAACCCATCAATGACAGGTGTCCAATGACGTATGACAGATGACGTGTAACGCCATCTATGCGTGAGATGCCCAATGACGCATGACAGGTGTCCAATGACACACAGATTCCGTTTGGTTTGACAGCGCCATCTAGCGGCGGAATCCCCAACTCATGAATTTCGATTACAGATTCCGTCCAACAACCTGTCAATGGCGCGCGACGCCAGCGCCTCTGGTGGCGGATTTTGGAAGTTTTGAGACCGAATCCCCATAAGACATCTACTGATCAACTTGTGAACTATGTAGCAGCTAGTTCAAAGGTGACATTTTATAGGAAAACCTACATAATGTCAAAAAACCTACATAATATCATAAAAAAACGATTTAATGAAAATTTTCAAGTTACGTAATATGGGTGCCGGTCTTGGTAAGTGTTCTGCCCTGACTGCTTCTAGGCCGCGTCTGAGGCGCTGTGCGGTCAAATAGCGGAGGTAGACGACGTTGCCAGGTGGACAACCGGTAGGGCAGGGAAAGAATGTCTATCGACTAATTGTGGGTGCATGTTTGACTGACTTGATATGTTTAATTTCTCTGTTATACATGCTCGTAACTAACTTCTTTCTCAGAGAGTCAGATGACGGCGTTGCGTGGAAAGTCCAGAGTCACTCTACGTGTCGCCATTTTTTTTTTATTTTTTAGTTTGGATTAGTACGAAAAACATGATTATTGCCCATACGGCCAAAATGCTGCTTTCTTTCCGGAGTTATATAAAAAAATGAATACCCGACTCCACAAACATGAGCACTCTTGATTATGTTTTCCACCAGGTTTTATAAAGAATATTTCCAATAGCTTCCCGAATATTCCTCTTCAGCTGATCTATAGCGCTTTTTTTGTTGGCATAAATGCCATGAGCGTATCAACGAATATTATTTTTTTAAGATACTGTAGATAATTCCCTTAATGTCACTGTCCAGCGTTTTCGTGATATAATGCAAAACGATTTAGTTTCTAAAATTTCTCAACACAAAATAAGGTTCATGTCAGAAACCTAGCAAGAACCATATTCAAAAATATTTCCCTAAAAACATACCAAAATGTAGAAAACGCAATCAAGGTGGCTCAAATAAATGGTTTTATTTCATTTCAAAGACATTGGTGAAACAAATATGTCGTTTATATACTGACCAGGGTACTTGTGTCAGATGGGGGCTCAAAAACTGAAATGCGTTACCAATCGCAAATTTCTGGAAGTTCAATGTGACTTCCAAAAAACAATATCCTTCGTTGTGAGACCCATAAAGCCAAGTACTGTGTCTCTAATTTTTTGCGGCTTGCTCCCTTTCCGACCCTATACACGTGAATGCTATCGAAGAATCTGACGAATATGTTCACTGAGTATGGGATACTTTTTTCATACGACCTATGCAGTAATCACCCATCAGATTTTATTTTAATTGAAGTTGCATCTGTGACTTTGCCATTACTGCTGCTGTAGACGCTAAAAACTTAGGGTGCCCTGTTCCGAGCAGCACTCTCGAAGCAATTTAACGATGTACGAAAATGGAAGGCCGACTGCACTGATTTAATTACTGTTCTCTTTTAATGCCCCAACAAATAATGGTACGTAATCGAGGTAATGGACTAAATGGGATTCCACCCCTCTGTTTTCTGTTCAACTCCCATCCTTTATTGCGATGTATCTTCGGACATAATCGAGAATTTCGCAGCGGAAGTCTACTTCTAGCATAATTTTGCTTTCAGCCTGACATTGGTGTTTACTCAGAAGTATTCGATATCATTGTTTTTAGAGTTACCGTGCGAACAGCATGCCTCAGCCCTTCCAGTGGCGCTGCTGCTGGTGGATAAAATCCGACCAACAGATTTGCTACCTGAAGAAAGATGCAGACCAGGAGTTCCCAACGTGGGGGGCGTGCCTCCCAAGGGGGGCATAGGCAGATGTCAAGGGGGCGGAAAGCGTTTGCGTTTTAGAAAGAAAAAACAAACCAAATTAACAAATAACATTACAATGTAATGTTTAATTTACACGCATAAAATTAGAAATTAAATATCATATTCACATATTCTGTCAACGGCTGTTTCAAAATCCGCCATCGTCAATCGCAGTTTATACGAGGGATGTCTTTTAAGTTTTGCATATAGAAACATAGTAGGCGGCGCGGATCGAACGTCAGTACTGAATCTTAACCTCACTCTTTAGTAAACTTAAATTCAAAGTTTCACACACTAAAGTGAATTTTTAGTGTCACCAAGTCATTAGAAAAATGGAACTCATCCGAGAACATTTTCACGCCATAATTTATTACAACTTTCAGAGACAATTATCGCAACAAGAATGCCTTGCTGAGTTACTGTCTGTTTTCATCAGTTGACAATTTCCCGTTGGTATGGAGAATTCAAACGTGGACGGGTGAGTCTTAGCGACGATTCCAGGGTGGGTGCACCAAAAACGGCAGTCACCCAGGAAAACGTCGATGTTGTGCGCAAACTCATCATTGAAGATAGACATGTGACATATCGCGAGATTGGGGCGTCCTTGAAGATCTCAAAGACCTCAATTCAAAAAATTTTACATGAAGAATTAGGAGTAAGAAAATTAGTTTCTCATTGGATACCCCACCTGTTGACTGAAGAGTAGAAAGCAGCCAGGGTTAATTGGTATCAAAAAAACGCTTGACCGTTTCAATTCCGGAAACTCAAAAAATGTGTACAGCATTGTTAGTGGTAATGAATCGTGGATTCACTGTTATGAACCAGAAAATAAACGACAGTCGGCTGTTTGGGTGTTCCAAGGTGAAGAAAAACCAACAAAAGTCATCCGTTCTCGAAGTGTTTCGACATTTGTGTCAAAAGCGGGCCATATTGCAACAATTCCTCTTAATGAGCAAAGAACTGTTACTGCGGATTGGTATACCACCATTTGTTTGCCAAAAGTCATCAGCGAGCTTCGAAAAATCAACCCTGAAAGAAGAATCATCCTCTACCAAGTCAATGCAAGCTCGCACACAGCCCAAAAAACAAGGCAGTATTTAACGGAAGAAAACGTGGAATTATTGGACCATCCTCCATAAAGTCCCGATCTAAGTCCTAACGATTTCCTTACTTTCCCGAAAATTAAAAACAGACTGCGTGGTCAAAGGTTCCAGTCACCAGAAGAAGCAGTTGACGCATTCAAAAATGCAGTTTTGAATCTGTCAGCAAACGAGTGGAATAAGTGCTTCGAAAATTGGTTCGAGCGCATGTGTATTAATCTTCGTGGAGAATACTCCGAAAAAGAATAGTCATTTAAAACTACCTGCCGTGTTGTTTTATTTCCATATGCAAAACTTAAAAGACATCCCTCGTATAAGTTTCGACAAGTGAAATCCGCGCGCACCCCTGCCGCGCTCCGCTTAACATTCATCAGTTAGAAAACAATTGTGTACCTACCAGACGCGGATGAGCATCTGTGACATTCATTCCCACATACTTGCGAAAAATTTGACGTTTCTATGTACATGTTTTGTTGAGAAATCTGTTTGAGTGTCAAATTATTGTGACTCACTGTTAAAAGGTGTGTAATCAAACCAAAATGGCGAAATAATTTTGAAACGATAAACTTTTAAGTACCTAATATTGATTCCAAATGTATTTAAAATTACTAATATAAGGTCAACCTGAGTAAAAAAATATACATCTCACGGTGGCCAATATACTCTTGAATACATTACGTTATTAAGATAAAATAATGGGCATATAATTAGTAATTACATGTATGTATTTTGCTTATTTATATATTACTTATTTGTTTTATTGTTACAGGTGCAAATGGCAGCGAAAAAAAAGAAAGTTTTTCGTAGAAGTTTGGATTTACCTTCTTAGAAAAAGACGAGTTACAATTGCCTCAGTGTGTGATATGTATGAAAGTTTTAAGTAATGATAGCATGAGGCCCAATCGCCTTGAAAGGCATTTGAAGCAACAACATCATACTCTGGTTTTGAAGACGAAAGAGTGTTTTCCTTCTAAAGCAGAATCACTCAAGCGGATGAGACTGGATAAATCGGGAAGTTATCACACAGGTGTGTCGCAGCATCTCAAAGCTTCATTTGAAATAGTTTTTATAATAGCAAAGCAAAAGAAACCTCATACTATCGGTAAATAATTAATAAAACCATGTGTCCTAAAAGCCACGCTGATAATTTTACGAGAAGATGCAGAGCAAAAAATGAAGTCTATTTTTCTTTGGAATAACACAGTCAAGCGTAGAATCGATGGCATTGCAGCAGACATAAAGTCACAAATAATTAACAAAGTAAAGTTATCGCCATTTATTGCCATTAGTTGCGATGAATCCACCGACATCGTTAATTGTGCACAGCTAATAGTATATGTTCGTTACATCGGCGAAGATATCACTCAAGAAGAGATTTTGTACTCCCAATCTTTGACAGCAGGTACTACATCTGAAGATATATTTAATTTAATATCAAATTTTGTTGAAAAAAATGATTTGGATTGGAAGAAACTCATTGGATTTTGCACAGATGGCGCACCTGCAATGTTAGGTGTACGATCGGGCTTAGCTAAAAAGCTCAAGGAAAAAATCCCGCAATGGTTAGTACACATTGTGTTATTCATCCGCCAGCTTTGTCTTCCAAAACATTGCCACAGAAGTTACGCCAGACTTTGAACTCGGCTATAAGGATTGTAAACTACATCAAGAGCAGCGCTTTGAACAGTAGGTTATCTACTTTACTATGCAAGGATCTCGATTCTGATCACAAAGTTCTTCTGTTCCATACAGAAGTACGCTGGCTGTCCAAAGGCAACATGTTGGCTCGCCTTTATGAATTGAAAGAATAGGTAATAATTATTTTTCTTGAGATCTATGAAAAACACGATTTTTGACAATGTTTATAGATGACACATTTCAATGGAGGTTGGCTTATTTAACTGACAGAGTCACCAATATGCCACATGACATTAAATCCAGTTGTCGATGTGCCACAATTACCAGAAAAAGTTAAGGAAGAATTTATAGAAATGAAGGCTGATTCGTCCATGAAAGATGACTTTTTAACATAGGGGAAATTTTGGATCAAAAGATTGGCTATTAATTCGACACTGCCTCTTTTGCTTCACGAATACTAGTTCCTTTTTCTTCAACTTACTTATGTGAGACAGGCTTTTCTGCTCTAGTTTCAATTAAAACTAAAGAGCTAAATCGTCTTGATGTCGATAGCGCCCTGATGACAGCTCTGGCAAAAACAGAACCTAGAATCTGGTATAGAAAATGCAATCTCAAGTGTCTCATTAGTACCTACCTGTACTCTTATTTTATTCAAGTTTTTCGATAAAAAACATTTATTAGTTCATTTAAACTTTTAAAATTTCTTTATTAGAATTAAAATAAAGTCTTTGTACCTATATATATATATATTTTTTTTTGTATTTATTGAAAAAATTAAGGGGGCCTTAAAAAAAATTTAAAGTCCGGAGCCTCAACAGAAAACAGGTTGGGAAACCCCGATGCAGACTCTAGAAATGATGGAAGGAAGACCCTAAACATTGAGCAGCAGCGAAGATGGGACACGACTAACCATGAAGCATGGACTAGGAAACGGATTTCAGACATTAAGGTCTGGATTCATAGGAGAGCTGTGCAGATTATTACTATATGCACAGTTCCTTATGGCATATGGTAACTTTGGATGCTACCTACAGCGGACAGGAAACATAGAATACGCAAACTGCCGTATTATTTTGATTATGAGGGCACTCGAATGCAGTAGTCTGACGCCGGGCGAAAAGCTCACTGCTGACAACTTTGCAGGTAGGCGATGACAAATGGGTTGAAATTCAACTAATAGTAAGGCGAATGACACTGAGCAAGGTATGCGATGGGAAAGGCTGACAGACTGGCATTTTTGAAAATATTCTCCCACGAAACCTCAAAATATAGGAAAGATTAAAATTTCCATTTTCGTCTCCCGTTGTTAAAAGCGTTTGGAACTTTGTACAGTTTGAAGCGCTGAATTTGAACACGTCCGTCAAAAATGTCGTCAAGTAGATTGACTCTGCACTTCCTACGCAGCGCCATTACCAGTACATAAATATGTTCAGCACAAACTATACCGTCTGAGAAAAAAGTCAGTCAAACAGGTCCATACAATTGGTCCATAAACATTCTTTCCTTGCCCTATCGGTACTGCATCTGGAAACGTCGCCTCTCTCCGATACCTAACTCGGGCAGACGTGGCAGCGCGGTCAGAGCATAGAAAACACTGTGCTATGCTGTTGCGGTGAGGTTCCACACCAGAACACTCATCACGGTCGGCGCACGACGCCAGCAGCACCCGCGGCCGATAGGTACGCGAACCCTCTCCTGAGAATATTTTTCAGTTTTCAGGCTAATGTACCGAGAAATGTATGTGTGAAAAAAATCGAAATCCAAGCGGTACTCCTCAAGTTATAGGCGGTTATAAGATTAGCGGACAGACCATCAGTCAGACAGACAGACAGAGCGACGGGAATGAGTGACATGGTTTTTCGTGATGTACGTGTCATATAACTATAACATCCAAAAGACATAACATTTTTAAAAGTTTTTGCGATTACAATACTTCCTGGTCAGTACGCGTGGGAAGTAAAAAAAAGTGAAGTGCAGTCAGCCGAATGTGCTACGAATATAACCTTCAAATAATCGTGGGGCAAAATTTGAGGTAGAAATGAAAGCTCTTGAGGATGTTTATTCATTCCAAAATTTTCAAAGCTGTAGGTAATTCGCACGCTCTTAGATAGTAGCCTCAGACAAGGTAAACCCGTTTTTAAAGCTGTCATTTCGTATCGTATGGAGCAATATACATGTACATAAATGTTTATTTTGTGATGGATCACAATAACATATATAAAAAACCTTACTTTGCCTCTTAAAAAATGACAATTAAGTCTGGAGATTTTTTAGCGAGTTACATGTTTATTTTGCATCAACTTCCTAAATAGCACTTTAAGCAGATGGGTGCGTACTCGTATAATTCTTAGCGTTCCTAAATACCGTATCTGGTTTCATAGCAGGTATATCCCATAGTTTTGAGTGGCGGCGAAATAAAATGATTTGCAGGGCGCGATGCACCGCGCCGTATGTTGAAAATTGGAGCACAATGGAGCAAAAGGGCGAACGCTATTATGGATTATGTTCAATATACCTGCCAGCTCTTACATATTCTGGAGCTCCCACATGCTGGTCTGAAACGTGATATTTTTTTATGTCATTTTTTGTATAGCTTCTCATTGGAAATGCTTGTACTGGCTAGGTATCTTAAAGCAAAAATTCTTTAGACAATTAGTAAGTTTCCTATAGTCTAACACACTGCTATTTTTACTTGGACAAATCAGAAAGAATTATTCCGATAACTTGAAATTTAAGGAAATTATGGCATTTTTTGTGTATACATCATATATATTGTTTGAATCTTGGCATATTATAGATATACAATAACTAAAATCGAAGGTTTCTTGGCCTCCACTAATCTTCCAAAGGTGGACATAATAATGGTTAATGGTTAATTATACTATGCAAAACATTTATGCTCTGGCACGCATTAATATTTATAACTAAGCTCACACGCGACCAACATGTCCAAAATTAGCAATATTCGCAAAATTTTACAAAAAAATATGATGTACACCTTGTGCAGAAAAATCCGTTCATTCTGCTACGCTATACTGGGTGATTCACAAGTCGACACCAAAAATTAAACATCATAGACAGGACCGCATTTTAAGGGGGGTCTTGTATGTAACATTTTTTCCTCAAGGGCTTCATTAAAAAGATACGGGGTGTTAAAGTTTAAAAATAAAAAAAACATTTTAATATCTTCAAAACCGTCAACTGCAATGAACTAAAATTTGGTATGTAGATTTACCTAAGAATTGTTCACATTCAAAAGTCTTTACTTAAAATTAACGTGGACCAGTGGCGGAGATACAAGGGATTATTGACATTATTTTTTCAAATTTGTAACAAATAATTACTCTTATGTTTTTTTCTAGAGTGCACTGTTTACGTAAAAATAAAAATAAAACAGATTAGATCATTCATGAAGAGCCGATATACAATATAGTTTTAAAATGAAGGCCTTGATACAAACTTGACATTTCTTGTGAGATAGTTTGTCAAAGTTATGAGTTATACAATTATTATCGTTACTACTACCATTTTTTTAGTAAAAGTCTAGTCAATAGTTCCATTTTTGAGTGTTGTGAAATGGAATTTAGCAATGATGATATTATTTTTGTGTACGGGTTCTATAATAAAAATGCTTCAGAGGTTTCTCGGGAGTATCAACGTAGATTTCCTAACAGACGTCAGCCTACCCCAAATGTTTTCACTAATTTGTTTTTTTTTTTCAATTTTAAGAAAACAATGCACTCTAGGGAAAAACACAAGAGTAATTATTTGTACCAAATTGAAAGTAAAATTCGAAAAAAAATCAGTAACGTGCTATTTTGTTATTTGGAAAAACAATGCTACTAATCCCCTATATCTCCGCCACTGGTGCACTGGTGTTACGTAGAAGACCCCTTTAAAATGCGGTCCTGTGTATGATGTTTCATTTTGGTCACCCTGTATTGACGGAATTCACACGGCTAGACCCAGACAAAGTCACCGACCACTGTACAAACAAACCTTTAGGTGTTTTCAAGGTCGCTGATAACGAATTTGATATCGATTGTTAAAAATTGAAATTGCGTTCCTAAAAAGTTCCAAGTGTTTTTACAATAACGAAGAAGACCTCGATGCTTAAAACATCTGAATGGCGGATCTAGGATGTCGACCATGTTTACTAAAAATTTGTCGATTGCGGTCAAATTACCTTTTCCAATGCATAATTTGTTTTATTGTGTAATGTCGTATAAGTGCCAAAGTTGAAGTCAGCTCCAGCTAAAATTGACTTGTTTCTTAACAGAGTGGGACAAGAAATAGAGCGGATTCTAATGGGTTTTCTTTCAAACTGTTTTAAAAATTACGCAAACGGTATCAATTACATATTGTTGTCGGTTTTTTGTCATGTGTCGACTGGCAGGTAATACAATGCCACATCATAATAACTATAACATACCTTGGACTCCACTATCCATTTTACTACATCTCAATACATCTGATTATTTAGAAACGGGACACTTCGACTATACAAATTTTTCGCACTTCTGGTGAGGTTTTTTGTTTCCGACCATGCCTAAGCATCTCCACGTCGACACAGACAAGGTTCAAAGAGTATTTCCCTTACATTGTCACTATAGCAATATTCACATTTATCTTTAGTTTGATACTTTTTACCATATTAACTGAATACCTAATAACATCAAAATTATATTTACAGCAGTGCAATGATATTTCCGAAAGAGGCAATTTTATCGTCATCGGCCCTGTTCTTTACCCTTCCTTCTGATTTTTCTATGTTTTGATACAGGCAAACATGTTTTTTGGAAATGATATGTCTGTATTTGTGCATCTAGAGTTTATTCGCGGAATCAAAGCAGTTACGTCACAACGTCAAATAATGACAGTGACGCACATGGTTGCCACATTCACTAAAACTACTAGATCCTAGGACGTTTCACAATATGTACTTTCGTCTTCGATGTCTTACCGCAACCAAGATTACGGAGCGTATGTTTTGTAAACGCTAGAATTAGTGTCAGTGACAAAATAACAATGTCAATAAGAACGAAAATACATAAACCACAAATAAACAACAGCCAAATGTACCCGGGAAATTCAAACTACACGTACCAATTTAAGATCTATTTTGCATTAAGGTTGGCATTGAAATTTCCTAAATATGACGTAACTGCTTTGT